GCTGTGATAACGTGAGATGAGAGAGGAAGCCTACAATTTTTGGTGAGTGCAATATCCAAAATATCGGGATTACAGCCTGGTCTATAAAAAGTAGGTTCATTTGGCGTATGGATTTGAATATTGTGCCTAGAACAAATTTCTAGCAAAATATTTCCGCTAGAATTTGATTTACGACAGCCCCAGTAGATGTTTTTACTGTTCATGTCACCTAGAACTAAAGAATGGTCTCCTGATGGCAAGAGTTTTAAAATTTCATCTTGGAGTAGTTTTTTGTTTGGAGGTTTATAAACTGCCGTAACGACTGTAGAGGGAAATGAATGTAAACGAACTGATATGACTTCGATATTTAAAATATTATCAATAATGTTTTCAGTGAAGCTAATATTATTCTTAATTATTAAGGCTACACCGCCGGAAGCAGTCGAACATTCTCGATCCTTTCGTAAGATTTTGTAACCTGGGATTCTAAATGTGATGTTTTGAGATAGATGTGTCTCGGTTATGCAGGCTATGTCGATGAAATTTGATTCAAGAAAAATTTTAAATTCATTTCTTTGAGATGATATGCCATGCGCATTCCAGTTTAAAATTTTTAATTTTTTTAGTTCTGCAGTCATATATAAAAAATTAATATTTGGAAATAAATGAAATAATACGTGATCTGGAATAATGCGCAGTTAGTCTCGAACGAGTTAGTAACAGATAAGATAGTGTTTACTTTAGGGTCCATTAGTAAATAAAGAAGCTACGAGCGAAGATAGGTGTGTCATAATTTGTGGTAAATACGGTTTGATAGCATCGATAATAATTTTAGTTCTTGTTGACAGTAAATTATCGCCGTTTATTTCAATGTTTTGATTAACTGTGGGCTGAGGCTTTCGTTCCGATTGTTTTGTTATCGGTCTAATGGTGTCTGCGAATGACTGTTTTGAAGTAATTCTGGAGGCAGGTCTAGAAGAAATATTCTCAGTTTTTTGACTAGTTGGCTCTAGAGGTGAATTTACTCTATTTTTTATATTTTGATAATAGACGCAACCCTTGTAGGTAGCTGCATGGGCCAATTTACAGTTTACACAAAATGGCTTATCTGTGAATTTTAACGGGCATTTAGAGAAGTGGTGTTTTTCTTTGCATTCAACGCACCGGGGCTCTAAATGACAATAATTTTTTGTGTGGCCGTACCTCTGACAGTTGGTACACATGGGGATATCATTTTTCTTGTGTTTAGGTTCGACTGTAATTAAAGCAGAAAATAAATTGTTAAGATTGAAAATGTCATTAGCCGTTTCATTGTTTATAATAGACACTGAGCAGAGAGGAGTAGGTTTCTTATCTTTATTCAATATTCTGGAAACGTAAACAACTTCGAACTGTTTGGAATTTAACTCGGCCTTTAATTCATCTTCGGTTATGCTATAAGGGACCTTCCTTATGACAATGTTTAAATATTTATTTTTATCTGAGGAAAATGTGTGATATTCAATTTTTTCTTCATCGTAATATTTAGTTATAGTTCTGTAGTCTTCAATGGTTGATAGCATTATTTTTGTGTTGTTACCGGCCAGTTGCGTATTAAATGGTCCGATACATAATGCATTTAGGTCATTTAATAGAAGTCTGTAATTGTTAGCATTGTGTAAAAATATCGGTGGTATTCTAATATCATTGGATTGAACATTTGGGTTATTTGTATAACTAGTACTTGCTGTAGTGTGCTTATCGGATGAAAGGTCAATTTCAGTAAGATGATTAAAGCTATTGCTTACTTTAATTGGAGCGATTTCCTGGTAGTACTTGCCCATTTTTTTAACTGGTGATCGGGATTGAGGTGAATCAATAGCTTCATGAACTCTCTTCTTAGAACAGGATTCGTCCGTATGTTGGTCTACGTTCGTTTTAGTAGTGAGGGAAACACCGGGCGAATCACTTAATTCTTCGCCGGGTTTCATTAATTACATTTAAAAAAAAAAAAAAGAAGACAAAATACATGAAATAAAATGAATAAATGAAATATAAAAACAGTCCGAATAACTCCACAGTACAACCGCACTCCATGAAAGTCAGAGGCCAACTGGGTGGAGATCTTGGGAGAGTTTAATGAGGGCGGAATGAGTAGAGTAGTCAGGTCTAAAACCAGACTGGAAGCAGTTCATAAGATTATTTCGTTCGAGATAGTGGGATAATTGGGATTGTACTAATCATTCTAAAGGTTTGGAAAGGTTAGATAATAGGAAAATTGGGTGGAAATTGTTAGGGGTTGCGGAATTAGAGGTTTTATTCAGTGGGCAGTTTTATACAGACAAGAGCAGTTTTCCAGGTACTGGGGAAAGTGGAACTTTGTAGTACAAAGTTATAGATACAATAAAGGATTGGGGATATGGATGGAAGTGAGGATTTAATTAATTTAACTGGGATATTATTTGGTCCGAAATCATTGGTTTGGGATTTATGAATGAATTTAAGGAGGTCATCAGGGGTAATATGAGATAAGAAAAAATGATTTGGATTAAAGGAGGGATAAATGGAGAGGAGGGGGGGGGGGGGGGTGGAACTGGTGCATGGAAAGAGGAATGGGAGAAATAGGAGACAAAGTGAGTGTTAAGTACCTTAGCTGAAATAGAGGTAGACTGGGTTTGGTTGGGTTTACCTATGGAAAATTCACAGAGGATTGCCAACTTAGTTTTGGAGTTTAGAGTGCTGGATAGGGATTGTTGAAAGTAATGGGATTTGGTACGGCCTATTAAGGATTGAGTACTGTTTTGAAGAAGCTTGCAGTTGGTATTGTCTTCAGGAAGTCGAGTGCATTAAAACCTCCGTCTAGCCGTATCTCTTCATTTCATACAATCTTTCACCACAGGCATCAGCCAATGGGCTGAGGGATACTTGATTGTCTTAACTTTAAGAGGAGCATAACGACCCAAGATAGTGTGTAGATGATTATTTGGGGTTTTGACCATAAAATTGATGAAGTTTGAGGAGTAAATGGAGTCCCATTGGATAGTATCAAGATCAGGACTCATAATTTTGGGTGATAGGAGGGAGAGAACAGCAGAACAGGAAGGTTATAGGAGACTTGTATGAGATCGTGAGCAGATAAAAAAGGAACTGGATGCGGTATTGAGGCGAGGAGTTTATCAGGAGAGTCAATAACACAGAAATTGAACCAAGAGTCGGAGTACTAGGTGTGACGGATAGGGTTATAAGGGAGGGAATATTAACTAGATCAAGGACTAGATTAATAAGGGAGTAGAGGAGGTTTGAAAAGTAAGTTTGGTCAGAGGAAGGAAATAGTAGGATGGTGTTGAAGTTTCTGGAAAGAACAATATTAGAATAGGAAGGGATCGGTTCGTGAAGGATGGTCTCGAGTGTTTCATCAAAGGGCACTCTAGGGAGTCAGTAGATGGATATTCCAGCAGAAATATATTCAATATATGGGGAAATGGAAAGAGGAGACAAAGCGAGGATTTTGGATTTCAGACTATCATCGATAAAAAGAGCTACTCCGCTACCAGTTCTATTTACTCTACCATGATGGAGTAGGGTATAGTTAGGGAGTGAAACATGGGAGGATGTGATCATAGGTGAAATTGAAATATACACATGGACAAAAGCAAAAGAAAAATTAAAGTTATAAAAAATAAATAAACAGAAAAACATAGCTGGAAAACGACTAGTCCGGGAGCTGAGGGCGATAAGGTGGTCTGATTTGAAGAAAGTTGTTGACTGTGGATTCTGAAAATATTCTCACTAGAGTGCAAATATGGGCGTCTGCCACCCTAGACATACAATAGATATGCAGAATACATCTATGATGACTCATAAAATTTTATTGCAGTTTATAGTGAGAATACTTTCCGAATCCATGGTCAAAAACTTTCTTCAAATCAGAACACCTTTTTGGCCTCAGCTCCTGGTCATGAAGGGGTGGGATGGAAGAACAAGAGCAGAAAAGTCAAGTTCAGAAGGTGAATTTACAACGACTACGGACTGAATTTACAAGTGAGGAGTAGAAAAGTGTCTAATTAGTTTTTGTTCATGAATTAACTTGTATATTAGAGACCACCAGACAAATCTGGGCAATAGTGGGCCATGTTTATCATGTTGCCGAGTTCTAATCCTCTCTATGTTGTCCACGTCTTCCACCTTCAGGCTTAGTCCCAGCACTGCACCCTCACTCATTAACAGACCCATTGGAGTTTCACCAGGTCTCACCAGAATTCCTCTAATTTCTAATCTTCCTCCAGAATTTTCTAATTTTGGGTTTCCAGAAGCGACTCTATCGTTTTCAGTTGCTATGAATTTTGGAATGTAATAGATGTCTGGGTTTCCAGAGACAATTTTAAATCCTTCGATTTCAAGGCATTAGCATCGACGGAACTTTTCAGGCTCTTAACCTCCGCTGTAAGCTCTTTGATTTGACGGCAGTGTGCTGTAAGCTCACGCCTCTGTCACTGAATAGAAATGAGATGGATGACATGTGGGTGACTCAGAAACAAAGTGAACATGACAATAATAAGGAATTTTATTATAAGTAGACGCTTGCAATTCGCATAAGTGAAAATGACAGGTACATGATGGGTATTTTAGACTTGAAAATGGCTCGACGAGCCGAAACGTCGTCATTGTGATGAGTAGTCATTACGTGACAACATTTTTTAAAAATTGGTGTATATATGGCTAATAATAAATTAACTTGAAAATAAATAGTATGCACCGAAGAAGTGAGAAATATTGTGTTATTTATTTTTATATTTTAGAAAATGATTGTGAGGTTTTTGAAGAGGATGGACATAACCTCTAATGAAGCTAGATGTTGTCCAGTGAAGATAGTGGTGTTTATTGTTTCAAGCAGAGGGACCATTACTGGTCAATGTTGAATATATTTAATTTACTCATGTGATGTACCTTATGTAACATTAAGAAACAAAAAAAAAAACAATTATATTAAAATTTTTGTTAAATTAACAAATTGAAAAATAGAGTAGCATAACATTTATTACATCACGAATAACTGGTGTAAGACGATCTGCTCTATGAATGATTTTCAATAGTTCACACCGATTATCTCTAACTTGTTCATGCAGAAATTTTAAATAATGAATTCTTGAATCCACACCCTCATTCCTAACATGTTTCAGTGTATTTTGAATCAAGTCAATCATTTCATTCCTGAAAAGTATAGGAAAAAATGACTGGTTAAGAAAGAATAATTAATATCACAAGAATTCATTGAAAGAATAGACTTAAAAGTAAATATTTTATATACATAAAATGGTGATCTGACATTACCTCTTAGATATTGTTGTTAAATATAGTAGTAATATTCAATATATATTATAAAAGAATAAATAAATAGAAAAGATATGTTGTAATATGTTCAGGCTCTCAGTAGAGAAAGAAACTAGTACTTTAACTACCATAATAATTGTATAGCGCCACATAATAAGTGAGTGTTGCCCAATTTATTATTTCTAGCTCAAGTTTAGATTGGGAATTTAAAAAAAAAATATTATATTAAAAATTAATACTTAAGAGTAGCCTTATTATATTAATTTAACATTTGTTAGCAAAAGGTTTATAGACTCAATATTTCAACTTTTCAGAAGCTAAATATTTGAATAAATAAATCAAAAAAAAGAAAAAAACTCAAAAGAAACATAAATTTACTGTAAAGATATAATTAACAGGATTAGAAAGGCAGTAGAGTAAATCAATGTTGCTTTCTGTTGAGAAGGTGAATGTTCTTTAAATTAACTTAAAAGGTAAATGTATGCCATAAATTTATTATTATAAATATATTATATTAAATGTATCACATATTATTAAAATAAATTTACAAAAAAATATCTTTTTGAACAAAAAGCAAACTTAACTTACTTTATAGTCACTCTAACCCTGTCAATTGAAATTCTTGACACAAAGCCTCAAGTCTCAAAAGTGCAGATAAACAATTAATCTGTCAACATTTCGCCAATGCAGTGATAAACAGTCTTAAGTTAATGTATCTTGGACTGATAATGAAATATATGTTATATTTGGTATGTGTTTATGTGATTTGGTTGTTACTATCCTGATAATGCCTCAATTGGCGTAATGATGATGGGTTAATTGTTGGCCTTCATTTCAGAGATCTAAAAGTTTGCATTTTGAATTTTCTAATTATATCCTGTTAATTGAAAAAATGTATCAAATGTATCCAAATTGAGTTAAATGTAAATACTAAGAAAAGTGCTCTGAATTGAGAGTAGAAATATATAAGAATGTTTTGCACTATAGTACTCAAAACAGCTTGATGACTTGAATAGAATACACAACATTATTAAGAAAAATAAATTTATCATTTTAAACAAAGTTTATTGACATCTTCAGTTCCCTGAAAACCATGTGCTGTTCACAACAGAATTATTTTAATAAATTAAATTAAATTAAATAAATTAATCAAGTAAAGCAATAGTGACTTACGATTTTATTGCAGATTGAATAGCTAACCAAACTTCATGCATTTTAGGCACAGTTGAATCTTGGATAAAGTATAGCCCTGGGATGTATTCATTATATAGATAGCCTTTCTTAACAATGAGATAGTATAATAAACTACTAACATCAGTAGGAAATTTTACAAATAATGGAGTAAGTAATGATACAACAGTCGGTAAATGAGGGCCCAAAAATACTGGATTAATACTATAAAAAACAAAAAAAACTGTTGATGAAAATTATTAATAATATCTCATAAAAATAAAGAACATTAATAACAATAATAATCAATAAGTTTTAGATAATACAAGACATTATACTAGCATGAATAATTTATTTTTTACAGCAAAATTCTGCTCATCCATCCTTATCAGTTTCACCTGATAATCTAAATTCATATTTTATATTGGCTTCCTCTTCTATTCCTCCATTAACCTTCTTCCTTATTTTCTCCTGGAACATTGTTTAACGACAAAGACTTTTATTTTACAAACATTTCACCCAGACCTCATATCCATGGTTATGAAATCACATTCTAATTCAATTGATCCAGATGGTATTTCCACCAAATCCAATTAATCTAATTATGCCTGCCTGAAATCCTTCCCATTCTCTTTTTCATCTATAATTTCTCCCTAAATAATTCAGTATTTCCTACCTCCAGGAAAAAAGCCATAGTTTCTCCTTTAAATAAAAATTCTATCCCTTCTTCTTCCGAATATTTCCGTTCAATCTCAATACTTTCTAATCTTTTAAAATCCCTGGAAAGAATAGGGTAATCCCATGTTTCCAATTTCCTCGAGCAGTCCAATTAACTTGACCCTTACCAATCTGGTTTTCGACCAGATTACTCCAAACAAAACAATTTAATTAGACGCTGGCTAATTATTTATTATGCAATAAGGTCTTAATATTCTTCATCCATCATTTTATTTATATTTTTGTTTTATCTGTAATGAATAAGGAAAATATTTCCTACCACTTTTCACAGTGCATTGTGAATAGGTGTTGCTTGTTTTATTTTTCCTATTCGTAATCTTCATTCTTTTTGAGATGTATTTAATTTTTTCCTAATCTTGGACACACTCCCCTCAATGTATATATATATATTTTTGTTTTTCTTCTTCTTAGTATATAAATTACAATAATTTTCTATTATTTAAAATACCATATTGAGTATTTATTTACACATCTTAAGGAAGAGATGTTATTTACTTTAGTTTTTTTTTTTTCATTACAATGATTTACATATAAAACTAATTTAAAATTCCTTTTCAACTTAATTTATTTTTATTTTATTGCTTGTAGCAACTATCTTGCAGTATTGTAACCCTATTGCTCTTCTGTTTTCTTTTATAATACATATCTTCATAGCTATATTTGGTTTATTGTTTTAATTATTCTTTATTGAAATAGGTCTTTTGGTTAATGTTAATTTGTTTGAACAATATTGTTATTCTTAAGTGACTATTTCTCAGAATAAAATTGATTTTTCTATTTTATTCTACTCTATTTGGACCAAGACAATATACAGGTAAGAATTAAAATAAAAAACAAAAATTAATGTATAGGTCATGTGTATACAAATTACTCCACAGATCAAGATTTATTGTAGTAAAACAACTTTCTTCCTTGGATGTTACTGACCTTTAATTTGAATAATTTAGTACTGATGATTTTTTACTTCTGCTTAATCTTGAGAGATAGTTAAGTAGGGTTCTACAATATTTACAAAACAAGAAGATGTCATGAAATCTAAAATTAGCAGCAACAATATTAAAAAAATGGAATCAAATTTAATAAAAAGTAAATAGTATTCAAATGCAATTCAATATTTGAAATATATTCTACAATGATGGACAAGAGCTAATCATATTATATAGGTTTAGTGCTGTTGTATACCGATTATATTGTGCTGTATAAATATTTCAGACTTACCAATATAAGAAATACATCCAAGCTTCTAGGCATAATTTTGGATATAAATGATAATGACGAGGAAGTCCTGTCCTTAATGTTGTAAGTAGTTTAAAACTTATATTAGTAACATTCACATCACCAAGAACCTGAATTAAATTAGGGATAGCTCTTAAACATGACCTAATTAGGAAAGAAGATGTGTTAGAGGAAAGAAGCTGGACATCCACAAATGTTAAAAAACCTACAATGTGGTCTAATAATGTATCAGCCTAAAAAAAAAAAAATAAATAAATAAATAAATATATGTGAAAATATATATATATATATATTCTTGTTTAGTGTTAACTGTAGATAAACTATAGACTGCTTTTGCTTCTTCAAAACAAGATCTTTATTAATTACAATTTCAAATTAAATAATACATTAAATCTTTAAACTATACCTACCTACAAAACAAAATCAGTTTTTATAGTTTTAAGTACAATGAAACACAACATTAAACACTTAATAATTTGAAATAATTACAAACTGGACCATATGGATATTTTTATCTAACATCATGTGTTAAATGTATGAATTACATAATTAACTTAAAGGTGGGGATTCGTTAAAACCTGAACCTTCTTTACATACCTCTGTCTCTGTCTCTCTCTCTATTTTTTTTTCCTTCTTTCCCACTGCTGTACTTTAGGGACACCCTATACCAGCGGTACATCCAATTTTCTAACTGAAAATTATGCCGCGAATTTAAGGGCTCGGTCACCAGAATTGGCCTGAAGGGCTGTTCCCACCAAAGAGGGATAGCTCTTAGCCAAAAAGGGCTGCTCTCTCTCTCTCCCTCTCCCTCTTCCTCCCACCCTCTCTCTCCCTCTCTCTCTCTCTTTTTTTTTTTTTTTTTTTTTTTTTTTTTTTTTTTTTTTTTTTTTTTCCTTCTTTCCCCCCGCTGTACCTTAGGGCAACCCTATACCAGCGGTACATCCAATTTTCTAACTGAAAATTATGCCACGAATTTAAAGGGCTTGGTTACCAGGATTGGTAACCAAGCGGGCAGGTCTGCTCTCACTTTGATCCAAATTCTTGGGTCAAAGTGAGGCAAAATTCGGTCTTTTAGTTTGATTGGGGCATTAATTATTACGGGTAAACCTACACTAATGGGCTGCCTGCAACTGGAGGGCTGTTCCCACCAAACAGGACTCCAGTAACTTCCTACCTACTTATTGTGGGCCTATTACTAAGTTTATATATACTATTTCTAAATCTTATGATAACAATAAATTTATGTATTTGGTATATCACCGGTTTAATCTTTCCTCTCTTGCTATTTTTTCATGGAATATCCTCCTGGCGTATTTCTTAAAGGCATCAAATATCTCAGGTGTCTCCACAAGCTTGTCCAGAGACCGAGGAGGCCATTCCAACATGGAGTACTCTCCTGCCAATGCTTGTCGGGCGCCAGTGTACATTGGACATTCCAAAATCATGTGTCTAGCATCCTCAACAGCCCCGCAGTGACAATTCGGACTGGCTCTTCTATGAAAAAAATGTAATTTTTCATTTATATCTCCATGGCCTGTGAGGAGTTGAACAGTCCAGAAATCCGTCTCCACCCAGTCATTCTTGATTCTTCTCCTGACATCTGGGAAGAACTCATGGGTCAGTCTTCCAGTCTCGCATGCATCCCACCTTCTCTGCCATTCAGAAAGGACTAGTTCTTCTATTCTGTCGGCTACCTCGTCGTACCTTCCACTAGGGCACACAAAACAGCTTGTTCCCACATTTGCTGGCACTCCTCTCTTTATTCTATATTTGGCTATAGATATTTGTATTTTCAGGTCTATAGGCAGTTGTCCTGTAATCACTTGCAAAGCCGAAGTGGGTGCCGTTCTATACGCTCCTGTCACCAGTAGGAGAGATCTTCTTTGAGCTTGCTCCAGCACTCTGATGTCTGACTGTCTCAGTTTCTGGCCCCAGACCGGCGCCGCATATAATGCAATAGGCAAGAAAGAAGCCTTATATAGCGTTTCCCGGTAACTATATTTGAGACCCCAGGTGGTCCCTGCCATCGTTTTAAGGCAACTGTAACGGACAATAGTTTTGCTCTTAATTTCTTTTAGGTGGTTAGTGAAGTTACACCTCTCGCCCAATAGGACTCCTAAGAACTTCACTTCCTGAGATGGTTTTATTAGGACATCTCCTAACTTTACTCTGGGGAGAAACCCTACCATTTTTCCCTTCAAAAACAGGAGTCGAGTCTTCTGAAAATTTAAAGAGAGTTTATTTCTCGGCACCATTGCAAGACTATGTCAGTGACTTCCGCTGCCCTTATTTCCAAATCATTTCGTGATTTTGCCTCTATTCCAACAGCAAAGTCGTCCACGTAAGCAGATGGCGTATACCCGGCAGCTCTCAATTTAACAAGGAGAGGGTTCATGTTGATATTCCATAGGGGGAGTCCCAAAACTGATCCCTGAGCACAACCCCTCTGGACTGGCCTCGTTATTCTCCTTCCCGGAAGTTGATAGTAGACAGAGCGCTTCGATAAAAATGATAATATGAGCCTGTATATATTTCTGGGGCATTTAGTTTCTTTAGCTCGTCCATAATAGCAGGCCACCACATATTATCGAACGCGCCAGCAACATCATAGAAGAGGACTACAAAATATTTAGAGGGCGAGTCCTTAGCTGTTGATATGAGCTGGTTGATGGCATCCGTTGTTGACTGTCCTTTTCGACCTCCGAATTGATCAGGAGAGAGCAAGTCGATTACGTCTTTTAGGCGTTGCAGCATTAGGCTTTCCAGAACTTTCCCCATTACATTTAGGAGGCATATTGGGCGGTAAGATTTAGCAGTGACTTCTGTTATACCGGGCTTCAAGATAGTAACCAGCTCAGCCTGTTTCCAGATACAGGGGAAAATGCCTTTATTCAAGCATCGGTTGTAGAACGTAGTTAAAGGCTTAATCAGTGCGTTTTTTGTATTTCTAAGGATATCGGCTCCTATCATATCCGGTCCTGGTGCCTTTCCCGATCGGAGTTGTCCCATAGCCAACCCCACGTCTTCCTCTTCCCATGGAAGCGCATCGTCGGTTTGCGGAAGTTCACACATTGTAATTCTTTTGTGAACATGGTCTTCTGTGTCTGAAATTAGTTCGTCTTCAGGGAAAGATCTCACCATTATAGCATTAACAACCTCATCTGCCGTTCTGGTTGCATCCCCATTGTGCATAAACGATGTGAAGGAGTTTCTATTTGAGATTTTATCAAGGGCTCTCCGATAGGCTAGTCCCCAAGGGCTTTTGCATTGGTCTAGGTATCGGTGCCATGTCTCTTTCTTTGCTTTTCCTATTGCCTTTTGGAAACTCTTATTAAGTTCGTAATATGCTTTTTTGACATTTTTTTTGGTAACAGCATCGTTTTCTCGCTGAAATCGGCGTCTTGCTCTGTAGGTCTCCCGCTTCAGGCTTGTGAGTTGTGTGTTCCACCATACTTGTCCCTTTCTTATTGACTCTCGTGTTATGGGCAACACCTCCTTAACCGCTGTGAAAATTTCTGTTGAGATTTTCGCTGCCTCTTTTTCTAATTCCATATGATGGTGTTGCTCCAGCTCTGTTAGGTGCCAAGCAATATTCTCAGCAACACGTTCCCACTCAGCTCCCTCCGTCACAAAACGTTCCTTATGGTATCGCTTTTCATTGTTTAGGTTTATTTCAAATAAAACCACCCGGTGATCACTGCAGGTCCAATCCTCGACTTTCCAAAAGCTAATAAGCTGGCCAATGCCAGGTGATGCCAGAGTTATATCGATAAATGATTCTCCGCTGGATCCCGAAAACGTTGGCAAGGCCATGGGATCATTTACAATGGTTAGGCCATTCCTTGCAGCAAAATCCTCCAGCAGTACGCCTTTTCTATCGGTTCTTCGGCTGCCCCACAAAATTGAGTGAGCATTAAAATCGCCCATTATTAAGATGTTCTTACTCAGCTTCCGTATTACCAGCTGCAATTTTGTCAGAATGTCTTCCAGTGGGAGTGCGAATTTTGCATAAACATTGATCAAGTCAAAGTTAATGCCTATGTAATCTACATTGGCAACTGAAATAAATCTATCTTCCAGATCAGGCTGTGATGTAATTGTAAGGCAATGATTAAACACCACCACTGCGCTCTGTGGTGCATCGTGTAACCCACTTCCATTGCTAGCAATGGTGCGGTCTTGCGGTTCAGTTCCAGACACCTTCCCTCTCCTAGTAGGAGGTTCCTGAAGAGCACCAATATCTATGTTATTTAGTGAGGCCATGCGTCTAAATTCTGACATTGCGAGCGGTCTCTTGTTTAGATTGTGTTGGGCTATCCGGAGGGCAGAATTATTATTCATTGTCGTTATATTTTGTCCTCATTACTAACCTTTCAATTACTCTTTTGTATGATGGACAGTCTTTGTCGTTTGTCGGATGGTTAGATGCTGAGTTGGTTTTACTGCAGTTTATGCATTTCGGCGGTCCGCCGGTCTTTTGTTTTGGGCAGTCTCCTGAAACATGTCCTCTTTCGCTACATTAGCCGCAGTTTACGACAGTTGCAGGGCAGAATTTTTCTATATGTGAAAAACCCTGGCATTTATTGCATCGTGTCACTGCCACCCAGTCTCTCACATTGCAAGATTCCCAATCCAGGAAAACTCTTCCCTCTGCGAATATTTCATTTCTCACCGCCGGGGACACTTCCACCACCCAATAAACTGTATTTCATCCTCTCGAACCTGTCATGAAAACCAGGCTGAAGTACTGCTTATTAGGATCTAACTTTTTTGCATTTATGGTCTAGAACAGTAGGTAGGCCCATCTTTTCTTGCTCCAGGTCACTTGGGACATCATATGTAATTATTCTTGGAAGGCGTTTATTCTCCAAGTTTACTTTAGCGCCGAGTTCTTTTATTCTCTCCGACTGAGCGAGCCTCTTAGCTTCTTCTTTTGTTTGAGTCCTAATTATTACACCCCTTGTTGTTTCTACCAGTCCTCTAATTTTTATTCCTTCTTTAGCAGGCGTGAAACTTTTCTTTATCCCCTGTTTCAATTCCTGTACAGTGGGATATTTTTCCCTGCTTAGGTCTGTCTGGGCTATGTACACTGAACTCGGAGGTTCAATAGGAGTTTCCTGTCTTTTCCCAACTAATGTAGAGGCATAAGATTGTTTTTTCGTGGTATCGACCTTTTCAGTGACGAGAGGCTTAACCTCCTCATTTATTATGTCCTTCATTACCAGCTTTAATGTCTCTAGACCATGCGTTTCGAAAGTAACAGGTGTAGGGCAGAAGGCTTGGTTTCTTAATACTCTTATTTCGCCGTTTAATTCTGCATTTTCAATTATGAGCTTATTACAGTTATCCTCCAGTTTACGTGCCGCCGCAAGAACCGTCTCAACTGCCGTCTTGCTTATTTGTTTTGCTTGGGCATTCAGTAAAAATTCTTGCAGTTTTAATATTATTCGGCTGTTTTCTTCATTTACGTTCTTATAACTTAAATTCTTCTCTGCGATAGCCTCATGACACGTATGTTTCCGATCAGGTGATGTAATTGTTTGCTGCGAAGTATCGTGATAAGATTCGGTGACGTCACGGCTGCATTGGCTGTTACTATTCAAAGAACTAGGCTGACTGTGTGATGTCTCTTTGGCTCCTCCTATCTCGCTGCTCTCCCCGCCACTTGTCAGTGCTCCTTTATTTACTATTGCTCTATTGGGTGCTGGAGACACATCCAGGTTTTTACGTGATTGAAAAGGAGTTTGTTTTTCACCTTCCTCCATTTCTGTACTTCTTGCAGTAATAATAGGGGATATGGTGCAAGGTAATCTTCAAGAGGAAATATAATAGAGGCACCAAATGAAGCAACTTGCAGTAGGTTAAGTTGAGAACTAGAGATCTTAAATATTATAGTGATGAATAAAACTACTCAAGTGAAAATTTCAATCAATCGATTTGGATAATCGACTTTTGCTATAAGTATAATATACTTCTATCTGACTTATTGCAGTCTAAACATACATACAAAATAGTGAAAAGGTATAAAACACTATGTCAGTGTTAGAACAAAGTATTCAATAAAATAATAATAGTTAAAATGGATTAAAAACATAGACCAAACATGTAGACAGAATGGTAAACAAGTTTAAAAATACTATCTAAAACTAACAATAGTGAATAAAATAATAATAGTTACTTGATTAAAGCATATCAACCAGTCCAAACATTTAAATATTAATCAACCAGTCCAAACATTTAAATATAATGAATACAAATACAATAGTTTAGAATAAAGAGTCTCCCCTCTCTCTCTCTCTCTCTCTCTCTCTCTCTCTCTCTCTCTCTCTCTCTCTCTCTCTCTCTCTCTCTCTCTAATAATAATCTCCACATAGTATTAATTATAATACTTACAGTTAACAACATATTTAACAATTTACACAATAAAACAATTAACTTACGCCGGATTTTCTAGAAGCAGGAATAGGATGGATATGATAATGGAAGAAACGCAATACCTTGAGAGGCTTGTGTGCATTCATGATTATTAGACAAATTAATTCCTATAAATAAAAAATATATTAAAAAAAGAGGCACAAATGATTGATTTGTGTTAAAAAATAAATAAATCAAATTAAATTTATTAATTTCAGAGGAAGTTAGTCAGGGGTGTGGTAAAAAAATATATATTATATAATAGTTTATTTATTGCATTGTCCAATGTTTTGACCTACGTTTTAGGCCTTCTTTAATATTGTATAAAAAAAAGAAAAAAAAAGAGAGATTAAATTCAATATAGTAACTTAAAAAAAGGCATACGTAGTTTCAGTCCTTATAGTTAATGAAAAATACATGCTATAATAATAGTCAGAATGAGGGATGGGTGACTCTGCAGAAAATTTGTCCCTCTACCACACTGAATATTTTTTTGTAACACAATGGTACAGTTTAGAGGAAGGTCAAGTCCTCACACACCTTATATTTAGATCTGTACTACAAAGGAAATGTGGAAGACAGAGAAATCTTCCTCGAGATCGCCCTCTCATTCTGATTTCTACAATAGAATCAGGTACAAGAAATAAGATAATTCAAACATGGTGAAGATGCTAAGTAAACATTCCTACCTAGTGAAAGGAGAAAAAAATGAAGAATTAATAAGTTCAAATGTTTCTCCTTATACATTACTGATTATTTTTACTCCTGTTCTTTATCTTGTATGTATTTTCAAAATATTTCTTTGTTGTTACTTTATTCTTGCAATACTTATATTTTGTTTTTATAGAAGAAGGTCTACAAAATAAATTGAAATATTGGTATATATCAAAGCAATATATACATTTACTATTACGTTTTTTAAACTGCACACTAAATATCGCCAGAGAAAAAATTCGATACAGAAGACAGGATGGATCCCCTGTCATCATCGCCAACAAAAAGGAAGACATCGAATCGCTGGAATGAAATAGGTCTCATTGCTGATATTCTCTCCCTATACGTTTTCTTACCCAACTATACCCTCTTTCATCAAGATCAAATGGACTGAACAGGTGGAGATGCGAGATTGTTCCTTCTTGACAGTCTGACGGTCAAAGTCCTTCTAAAATCTCCTTCTGACCTCCCAAACATAGAATATCTGTTCGTCTAAATTTCCTCCAGTACCTTTTCCCTACTCTTTATCGTTATTTACCGCTGTCCTCGTGTCCAATTTGATCCCACTTTTGAATCCTCCTTCCTTATATATACTCCTATCTTTGAAAATGTTATTATTGCAGGTGATCTCAACACCAACCTCCTTTCAAATTCTCCAGACAGAACATATCTTATTGACCAATTTTTTTCCCTAGACCTATTTATTGTACCCTTTTAACCCACTCATCATAATCAGTCCACCAATACTTGACTAGACTCATTTATTATTGATTCCTCCCATAATCTGTTATCCTCTATGCAATTTTAGTTTCCTTCCTTTCATCCCATGATCTTATTGAAATATCATACGTCTCTAGTCCTACACCTAAACCCAAAAAATTTCCTGGAGAGATCTTGATTCCTTGATGTCTCATCACTATTGCGAACACCAGTGATTATGTTATCTACATAAATTTGGTCATGACACTGGGCAGCTTTAGGAAAATTATGGCCTTCTTACCGAAATAACTGTAGAATGAACAGATTTCTAAATCTGCGTAGAGCTATCTTTCTGGTGGGATCAAGATCAATCGGCTGATCAGAACGGAACGGAAGCGAAACAACGAATCTACCCTAGAGATCACGGGTGAATGTATTTATAAAGCGATCTTCGCAAAAAGAATCTTCAGGATCTGGCAGAATCGAAAGTGTGACTTCCTCAGTCTCCCAAAATCGCTTTAATTCCTCCTGTAAGGAAGGGCTGTTCTGCGAAAAAAAAGTATGTATAGAAGGTATAGGGCTTTGGTTTTCCGAGAGAATGTCCCCAAATAATACCTATCCTAATGAGGTATGAATAGCTTTTGGTTGCCCCTTAAGAAACAAAACAGGGTCACATAAACCTCAACGTACATCTCAGCACCCAGGAGCAAATCAACTTTTCCTGGCGTACGAAATTGAAGGTCTGCTAGATCTATTGATGAAAATTTATTCCTTACTTCTTGGGACACAGCAAACGAAGGCAAACTTCCACTTATGCAGTGTAATACTCTGGCTGAAAACTCATATATGCTTCTATTTTTAGTTGAACCCAACTTCACCTTAACCTCAGCAGAAGATGAAGATATGGAGGTATTACCTACTCCAGACACCACAAGAGGACTAATCCGAGAACGAAGGCGCAACTTTCTCACTAGATCAGTGGTAATTAAATTGATTTGTGAACCTGGATCCATCACCATTCTGCATGAATACTACTGACCTGAACTTGAGCAAATTTTAACTAACGCTGTACCCAGAAGTACCTATGAGCTGATGGTAGAGTGGCACGAAACTGCACTAGAATTGTTTGTTACTTGTGACTGTGATGGCTCAGTCATTGACTCCTTTCTCCATAAACTTGGCAACAACCCTTACTTTGGCAATTTGGTAAGCGATGAGGTCCCGTACAAGAAAAGCATAAATCAGACTTCTTCTACAAGTCACAACAACCATTAACATCTGCATCCAAAAAACTGACAGCAATTTATAATTTCATGGCTTGATTTACAAACTGGACACTCTAAATTAATTTTCTGTTTATCCGGTCTATTTTGATGGTTGGTTAAAAATGTTTTTCACTGAACTTTAGGCTGGGTGGTTTTAGACGGCTCGGATACATTTCTGCAACTCTAGGTTGTGACCTAACAAACTTGCAAAATTCTTCAAAATTAGGAACTGTCTCTTCCATAATTTTCCTTTATTTTAAAATTTATTAAATGTTGCCGAGATAGGGAGCAAGACGATTTTGCTGCTGGAACCTTGACTGCGGACCATCTTAAGGATTCCTTGATGATTTATGTCAGAATCATTCAGAGGAAATCCTTCTCTGAATTAATTGATTGTATTGAAGGCGGCAAACCATATAAAGGTTCCTTAAACAGGCTCACACCATTTTGGATAAGGACGAAGCTCTCAGGGTGGGAGGTAGATTGAAGTATTCCACAACCGAAGAGAAAACTAAGCTCCTGCTGCTGATACCTAAAGACTCTCATTTAGCAGTCCTTTTGTGTGATCATTACCACAAGTATTCCTTGCATGGTGGCTCCCTGTTGGTCTAGTCTCTCATTCATCGCCAATTTTGGATCCCTTCTCTAAGAAGACTGATTAGTAGGCGTATTTATAAATGTGTTACTTGCCACAAAAATAATGCGAAACCACAGGCTCCAAAAATGAGTGACTTACCGTCTTTCAGGGTGACCGAAGGTCGATCCTTTCAGAAAGTTGGAATAGACTATGGCAGCCCCTTCATTATGAAGATTTCCAGTAAGCGCAATGCTCCTAGGTTCAAATATTGGTTAGCTCTCTTTGTGTGCATGTCCACCAAGGCCATATATCTAGAACTAGTGACGGACCTATCCACTCATTCATTTATTGCCACATTAGATAGATTCATTGCCAGACGCGGTTTGCCTTCCCATATGTTGGAGCATCCCAGAAGTTGAAGGAGCTTTATCAATTTGTTAAGGGCCAGAGCGAACCCATTTCTGACTATTTGGGTAAGACGGGTAAAAAATGGACATTTACACCTCCAGCATCTCCTCATTTTGGTGGTATTTGGGAGGCAGCTATTAAATCTGCGAAGAGACACCTTCTTGCCGTTCTCCAGGATCATGCATTAACCTATGAGGAATTTTATACTCTTCTTGTACGAGTTGAGGCCATTCTCAATTCCCATCCTATCTGCACCATTAGTAGTCAGCCATCGGATAACCTGGATTGCCTTACCCCAGGACACTATCTTATAGGTCAACCCCTCATAGCCAGACTAAAACAAGAAGACGCACCTGTGTTTCCTTTGACAAGTCGTTGGGAGATCCCAACAAGTGGTATACGAATAGGCAAAATTTAAAGGAGGAAACCCTTGTAATTCTGCATGAAAAAGAGTGGCAGCTTGCCAGGATTATAGAGACACTTCCAGGGACCGAGAGTGTAGTTAGGGTTGTAAAATTGAGGACTGCTACAGGCACTTTGGTGCGACCGGTGCACAAGTTAGTGCTTCTCCCTTCTGAAGAAACCTTTTATTGATATGTATATTTTTTTGTTTAAATTTAATGAGGAATAATTTTATTTTACGTTAATTGTAAATTATTAGCCTAATTTCTTTCTTTATTGTAAACCAAGAAATTTTCCTCTCGTTTGTGCCTTGCCCGGTAATCACTAATCTCTGAGTTTGGTTTTTTCTTTTTTTTTTTTTGTAAAATGAGATATTTCATGGTGGGGGATATGGTTGTGCCAAAGAGGGGTTTTCATTTGAATGCCCTGCGTTACGGAGAGCCATGGGTGCAGATCTAAAAGATAAAGATAACACTTAAGCCCTGAGAAGAACTGGTTGTATCTGCCACCCATTCCACAAGCAGCCGCGACTGGACAAATACCAGCTCCAGCATGAGAAGCCACCTACGGAGAGCTCTCCAGGTAAAAAAGGTGTGGGCTGGAGTATAGACGGTAAGCTGTTTTTTTTTGCACAATCATTAACCTACCAATCCCGTGAGATCCTCCTACAGTCCATTGTTTAAAAATTAGAATGTTACCATAAAATTTAGAATGTTGCCTTATTGAAACTCATGAGAGTTATTTTGCCATAATTGTAAAAGTTGCCTAAACTTATCATTAATTGATTAACAGCCAATAGTTTAAAATGCTTAAAATAGGCTTAAGATGCTATTTATATATTTTTTTATCTATAAGTTTAATATCACATACTTTAACTAAAATATTTCTCTGTGTACTACTGACCTTTAAGTGAGTACAACCAAATGTAAATACACAGCTACCTTGAGAAAAGTCAACACTTTCACATCAACTTCCGAACATATTTATACTAAATTGCTATTGTTTATATTAAACAAAACATGTCTTAATACTCGAACAAAAACAATACTACAAGAATCCTATC